ATATATATATATATATATATATAATACGTATATATTTCACTGGTTTAGCTTCTCTAAAGAGCCCAGCCTAAGACATTTGAGGAACTCAGAATAGTAACCTCACTTTGTCCAGATTAGAGGGGAAGAACAACTGGGGATGGAGCAAGTGTCATTAGTTGTAATCTATCTGAGCAAAGAGCCAATAAACATGGCCCAAAGTTGATAAATCAAGAAAATGGTATAAGCATATTATTTAGAGAACTGGAAGTGACCATCAGAAAAACCAACAAACCAAATTGTTTAGAAGTAGTTGCCTTTGCAGAACAGAATTGAAGGTAGGATGGAAGCTTTTGACTTCGCATTTTCAGTAATTTTGGACAGATTTGTTTTTAACCAAAGAAATTCTGATGGTGTAGTGGTTAAAGCATTTGGCTGCTAACCAAAAGGTTAGTGACTCAAACTCACCAGCTGCTCTGTGGAGGAAAGAGGAGGCAGTCTCCTTCCATATAGATTTACAGCCTTGGAAACCCAATGAGAGTCGCTATGAGTTGAAATTGACTCGAAGGCAGTGAGTTTAGTTTGCTTTTGGCCATTTTTAACCATAACACATAATCAAGCTTGTTAAAACTTTTAAGATTTACATTTACAAAGTTGACTTTTAGTGGAGTTAATGGAAGAAATTTAGGATATAGATCAATGCAGGCACAACATAACTGAACCTGATAAGCCTCAGTTTAAATCTTGGCTCTACTAACTGCATAGAATATGTGCAATCTTGAATAAGTCACTAAAAGTCTCTGATCTTCTGTTTTCTTTCTCTGAAAATATCAATAATTATAACTAACACATAAGGTTATTCTGAGCTTTGAAAATTGAGATAACGTATGTAAAGCACTCAGCATATGTTAAAACAAACAAACAGTTGCCATTGATTCAATTCTGACTCACTGTGACCCCATGTGCATAAGAGTAAAAATGTTCTTCATCACATTTTCAATGGCTAAATTTTTGGAAGTAAATTGTCAGGACTTTCTCCTGAGGCTTCTCTGGAAGAACAAACTTCCAAAATTTGGTTAGCAGCCAAGCATGTTAACTGTTTGTACCACTCAGGGATTCAGCACATATATATTGGGAGATTAATATAAGTTCTTGTAGTTGTTAATAAGTATTATAAAAATTTCAGGTATATGCTATAGATAATTTACATTTTGAAGCTCCATTTGTATATGAGTTTATACCTATGTAACATTAAAGTGGAAATTTCTTAAATGCTAATGTTCACAAAAGTTCTTCCAACTCTTTGTAGAAGTTTCAAAATGTTTGTTTTTATTACTTGCTTTAGAGGAGTCAAGATGTAATGGAAGAACCCAGTAGTAGCTTATCCACCTCCATTTTGGGCAAGTCATTTAATCCAATTTAAGTCACTTCATCTATAAAATGACATTGCTTTCACCTGTCTGAAGGTTATGATGAATCAGATGGTCTTCTGAGGTGCTGGCCACCTCTAGGGACCATGATTGTATAATAAGAGAATAAAGTGGCCCATTGAACGTGGAGCTATGTGGGATCCCATATGCGACCAAAGCCTCCCTTCTAATGTTTGGCCATGGGGCTGAGGGAATTTTTCTGACCTCTGAGGTTTGGTTTGTTTTTTTAAAAAAGTAATCATGTGCTCTCTGAGGCATGAAAAGCCTACTTGCATCTGTCAGAGGAATTTACTCATTTAAAATATCAGGGTTCCTTTTAATATATTTAATTCCCCACTAAATGATACCCTCATATGCCATAAACTGAATTTAGCATATATAATGTCACTATTAAATTAATAGTTGTGCATAAAAATACACTTCCTTTTAAGTGAAATCCAGCCCTTTTATAAAATAGGCTGTCATTTAATCATCTTTTTTTTTTTTTTTTTTGCCAATTTTTATTTTTCAAGTATTCAAGGCTAAATTGGATGGGATTCTGTTTAGATATTCCCTTGCAGAAAGGTTATTTTTCAGGATATTGCTACAAAAAGCTTTAAAAAACAAAAAAGAGGATGTGGGAGACAGGATGAGGAATTTGAATTTTAATTATGTCTCCACAGAGAAAACTCTTGACAAGTATGCTCACTCACCCATTCAGTAAATACTTGTTAGGGGCAAGATTGACATAGAGATGACAAAAATGATTCCTGCTCACAGCTAGCAGTGTGGTGGCAGGTCTGAAGTTGGGCTACTAGAACCAAATCATGAGTATGTTTTATTTTCAATAAAAAGCAGAATATGAATCTTGTATCGTTAAGTCAAATAAAGTCACAAAGTTAATGTACATTTAAAGGAAACTTCTTCCCTTATCCTTAAATTTTCCATCTCCATTTTTTCCCATTCGTAGTCACAAGACTGGTATATAAGAGAAAGTACAACACTTACAAATCATTTTGCTTATAATATCTGATGCCTTCAATATGAGTAAGGCTATTGCATGTTTGAGCTGGCCCATCTTGCTAGACCAAGAAATGCCTCAAGCAGGCTCCTCCTTTGTTGGGAGTGTCCTATTTGTTCTGCAGCTACTAAGAATTATGTTGCAAGTCAAGTGTCCACAATTTTAAGATTATTGAAGCTTAATTGTAATCATATAACAAGTTTAAATAGCATATTTTGAATTTATCAATTAGAATTATGGTATTTCAAACCATGAACCATTAATATTTGAAGAAAAGATGATATCAATAAATTCTCTACATGATTTATAATGGTTGTTGATTATCTGCATGCTGTTAATAAATGCAGATGAAGACAACTATAGGAACAAACTGAGCTGACAAAGTAAGTCAGAGACTTTACAAATAACAGAAGCAGTTTATTTAGTATCATATTATTGGGGCAATTTGTCTGGCAGAAATACAATTTCAGATTTAGACTTGGCTTTCATCCTGGCACTGCCCTCCAAAGTCAACCAATTCATCTAGTCTCTCTTAGCTTTACAATGGTTCTGGTGGTACAGTAGTCAAAATATTTGGCTGCTAACCAAAGGTCTTCGTTTTGAACCCACCAGCTGCTCTTCAGGAGAAAGATGAGGTAGTTTGCTTCCCTAAAGATTTCAGCCTTGAAATGGGCAGTTCCAGTCTATCTTGTAGGGTTGCTATGAGTTAGAATTGACTTGATAGCAGTGGGTGTTTGTTTGTTTGTTTGTTTTTTGTCTCTTAGTCTCAGTTTTATCATCAATAAAATGAGGATTTTTTTATACTAAGAGTACTATAAAGATTAAGTGATATAGTTTTTAGAGTGACTGGCACATATGAGAGCTATGCATCTCCATTCTGACCTTGAAAAGCTCTGAATCAGTGTCCTTTCCCTGTGCATTTCTAAGACTCTTGGACTCAGTCATATGGGAATGCCTTCCAGTGTTGCTTTCCTATCTCAACTTTTCCTTCCACCCTTTCTTCTCTAGATTAGTACAGAACTTCCATAGTGCAGACAGTATTCAAAGTGAGCTGGAGATAACTCAATAGGGTGCCTCACTAAGGTGTGTGGTGTCTACCTTAAGTCTGCCTTTCTTAGGACAGGCCTGTCTTGTGCAGCTGCGGTGGAGAAAGAACTACATAGTGTGCTGTAGAGCTGAAGATTAAAGATAGTAGACTGCCTGCTGATCCATCTATCCCTACTGAGAAGGTCAGGAAGACAGGGAAAAGGAAATCCTTGAGTTGAATTTTTCAGTTCCAGAGAAACAGAGAGCTCTCTGACAGGGTGTACCTGTGGCAGGCTCCTTTCCAGAAGCCCATGGGCCCTGTGATTTGTAGGAGGTGGAGCCCTAGAAGGAACCACACCCAGTCTTACCACCACTCACTCACTACTCTGCATTTCCATTATCACATACAAGTTTACTGTAGGCTTTCGTAGTTTGATCTTCAAACATGTTTTTAGGAATACATGTAGGGAGGTTCTTATATACATAAAAAATGGGTGGGATTGTATTTGCTAGTATTTTTTGATTCACTGAATTAATAGAAAGACAATAAAGCATGTTAACATTAATTTTATTTACTTTCATGGTCACTCATAATGTCACATATACAACATATGTAAATAAACAGTAGAAGAGCTATACTCCAGAATTCTAATTCCTCAAGGTCATTTGACACAACACATTCCAATAGCAATTACTGTATTTCAAAAGAAAGAAACTTAAAATTCAATTGTCCTTTACATATTCTGATTTAATCCTAAAATGATTATTACAACAATATTTGAAGGAAGTCAAGATGTCACTTAATTTTCTAGTAGCATTCTCTCACCCTAGACAAGTATCTCTATTTAGAAATTATGCTGCACATAACCACTAGACAATAGGAAAATTGTTCTACTAGTTATACATTTAAGATATTAATGGACACAAGGCAATATTAGGCACTTGAGTAAGTAATATAAGGAATTTGTAGATGAATTAAATTGTTTGTGATTAACTTTATCATCTGTATCTTCTGTAATGTGCTTAATTACATTTGTTATCAGATGCACTATCTAATGTCAACCTAGGCTCAAAAACAAAACAGAAAGTTTCTGAAATGAGAAAGAAATTACACATTTAAAATGCATTTGATTAAAATTTATTTTCAGAATTTCCAAAAATTAGAAAACATGGCTTCAAGTCACTCATTTTCTAAAGTCTTGTTTCCTTGCCTGGCCAATAGTTGGGATGTAGCCAATGGTCATTTGTAGCACAGTTTTCCTTCCTGAGTCTTGTAGAGATGACTGTTTTTTCTCTCTTGGTTATAAAGTTTCTATGTTTTGAAACACATTTCTTCTTTAAAATAAAAAGTACTGCAATACTTAAGAAAATGGACACTGTACCCAGCATCACAGTTAGTCCCAGATATATATATCTAGAAGAAGAGAGAAATCTCAGTCACCATATTGCAACTACCCCACTTGAAATTAAATGAAAAAGAAAGGTAATAATATTTTGATGATTTTCCTTAAGTATGAAGATTCAGTAGCTACGAAAGGCCTTTCTATGAGCACAGACAGACTATTGAAGGCAATTTGTTAATATAAAGAAATTTCTTAGTAGCACCATCATTTTTAGTTACTACTACTTAATCTGGTAGCTTAGTGCCTAAGGCACTTGACTACAAACCAGAAGGCTGGAGGTTCAAACCCACCAGCCACTCCTTGGAAGGAAGGTTGGACAATCTACTTCCATAGTGATACCACCTCAGAAACCCAAGGAGAGATTGCTATGAGTCGGGTCTGACTCAATGGTACATAACAACAACAACAACAACTACTACTACTACTTAATCATTTCCATCCTCTGGTAAATGGTTCCCTTAGAATAAGTGACCATACCTCTGTTTTCCCAGAACAATTCCAGTTCATACTACTGTTGCCCCAGTGTAATTTCACTCTACAAATTGTTCAGGTTTGAAATGATAAGTTATATGATTACCCTCCCTCTGACCTTGCCCCAATTTTCTTTTTTTTGAAGGAAAAATTTCATGAAGCAATGCTGAGGGGAATCAATTCAAGCTAAGGAGGATGACTTAATGAACCAGAGGTTTTAAATCAGTTGCTCCCATGGGAAGGCTTTAGTTCCACACTCTGTCAGAAGCACTAAAGTATGGAACGATAGGTTGAATGATTCATTCTAGTCTCCCTATGAACACACTCTCAGCCTCTGATTGAGTTATATTGTCTCTACATTGAAGTGAATACAGTCTTAGCAAATGTGAATAAATCCCAAATTATACTCACAGATCAGGATCCCTTCAAAGGGAAAATAAATTTCTCACATAACATGAAAGCCTGCTAAATCACTCAAACTTATTTGAGATGGTCTGTTTAATTCACATTCAACTTATCTGGATCAGCACCAAGTTTATTTCTCTAGAAAATGCTCAGCTTGTAAGTCTAAAAAGTCCTTGCTTTTAAGCCATTGGAGCATTGCTTTCATCAAGAAGGGGACTAAATGTTTGATGAATTGAACTGAATGATTCCATAGTGAAAAGCCATGCCCCCAACACCCATATCCACTCTCACACACAGAGGAAACCTTCTACTTTTATGCATTTCAAGTACTGGAATAATTGAACATCAGTTTGGCAATAAAATCCAGACAGATTTAGAGCCAAATCCAACTCTTGCCCAGGGGGGATTATCGCTGACGTAAATGGTACAGTTTGGCTCAGTTTGAAAAAGAATAGAATTAAACCAAAACTGTGACCTAAATTTAAATGCTTCTGAGTTTTAGGGAATTACTTATCCATTTGTCTGCATAAACTTTCAGAATTCTACACTTTTCTGGAATTTTATGTCATATTTTTGAAAAATGGTTACTCATTTAAAATGGGAGCCAAGCTTAGGAAAGGGGAAGAATATCAAAGAGCTATGCAAATAATACTATCCTATGAAACAGATCACACTTCCTTATTAGACTATCCTTTTTCTTATAAGCTGTGAAACAACATGAGAAATTATCAGTGTCAATTGCACTGTGCAAACCTGGGATATAGTACGAGGTACAGGAGGAATATGTGTGACACTATACCTGAAGCCATTTGAATCATATAATCTACAGGATCCTCTGTTTCCACATCTTTTAAATCCCCATTTGAGGCATGAAGTGTCAATCAAAACACCAAAATATACTGGAGCTGGGATTCCTGCTGTAAAAGAAACAAATGATTGCTGCTGAAAACATATGCACATGTTTTTGGTAATCCTATATTGAATGGTTGTCTGGAATCACTTAATTATAGTCCAATAATTACTGTTTGAGAAATGAAATATCATCAGTTACATGCTGAAATCTCCAAAATCTCCCTGCTTATTCCAGTCTTTTCTCCCTAGCACCAGTCTCACAGAATAACTGTAGTTTTGTTAACTCTGGAAAGATGTCCCTCAAACACTTCAAACTCAACATGAGCTAATAATCCTCTTCCTACCTAGACCTGCCCCTTTATTACTGCTATGTGCCATCGAGTCAGACCTGACTCATAGCAACCATTCTTTGGGTTTCTGAGGCAGAATCACTACGGAAGTAGATTGCCCAGCCTTCCTTCTGAGGAGTGGCTTGTGGGTTTGAACCACCAGCCTTCTGGTTAGCAGTTAAATGCCTTAGGCACTATGCTACCAGAGCTCCCCCTTTATTACTAGCCACCTAATAATAAAAGATGCTAGTTGCTAAAGTTATGCTTGGAAGTCATGTTTGAATCCTCCCATTCTCTATATGACCTTGTTTCATTCCCTCTTACATCATATCAATTTTACCACCTAGTAAAATTTCCTCGTTCATTTGAGTACTAATCTAAAAATTGTAAACCCATCCAATTGCACCATGGAAGATAGGTCTGGTGATCTGCTTCTATAAAGATTACAGCCAAGAAAACCCTATGAAGCAATTCCACTGTTTAACTTGCGGGCTCACCATGAGTCAAAATGTACTCCATGGCAACAGATATGGTTTTGGTTAAGGTATAAAAAACACATTCTCTTCTTTCCATTCCCATTGCCACTACCTCTATTCTGATTTAAAGCAACAGCCAATTCATGATTCTTCCTGCTTCCTTCCTTCATCCTTTCCAATCTCCTCATCATAGAGATACTAGATAATTTGATTAAATAGATGATTTCCTAAAGCATTTGTTCTAATACAAGAGTTGTTAACTGGCTACTGGCCCTTGCCTACACTTCCAGCCTCATTTTGGACAACATTCTTTTTTTTTTATATTTCAGATTCCAACATCACTGGATTTCTTTCAGTGCTTAAAATGTTCACCCTCTTGCCTGCATGCCATCTGTAACAAATTTTTATTTTTCTATTTTTTTGTGAAAATGTGCACAACAAGATATACTCGTTCAACAATGTTTACACGTACTATTCAATGACAAAAGGTTACATCCTTCACATTGTACAACCGTTCTTATTATCTCTGCCCATAGTTTTTCACCACCATTAACTTAGATCTCTGTCCCTTAAAGTTCACATTTGTGCTTTAAAGTTTGAGGGTATAGTTTTCCTCATTTGAAGCACTTTCCTCTTTCGTTTATCTTCCTTTTTTTTTAATACCTACCCACCCTTTGAATCTCAGTTTAAGTGTTATTCCTTCAGGAATAGCTATTCTGACATCCTGGAATCTATTCATTCCTTTTGCTCTACATCCAATAGCACTTATAGTTCTCCTTCAAAATATTCAACGATCCTGTAATGGCTTTATTGCTTGTCCTTCTTGCTAGACTATAAGCTCTACTGGGGTATGGAACATATCTTCCTTACTCATGCTTTAAGCACTAGTGAATTCTCAATAAATGCTTGTTGACAATTTAATCTGTCTTTAGGGAACACAAATGTCTTTTCACATACACATTTCAGCACTAGCATATTAAGTGATTTCTCAACTTAAATTTTATATAACTGATGTCTTCGCATCTGATACTCACTATGATCTACCTAATAGTGGAGAGTCAGAGAGAGACTGATCTTTAGAAAGACCAGCTTAGCCACATTTCACAAGCTTTTGCATTTTTTTACCAAACTCTGGTGACATAGTACCTAAGGCATTTAACTGCTAACCGGAAGGCTGGAGGTTCAAACCCACCAGCCACTCCTCAGAAGGAAGACTGGGAAATCTATTTCCATAGAAATACCTCCTCAGAAACCCAAGGAGGGGTCACTGTGAGTCTGAATCGACTCAATGGCAGTGAGTTTTGGTGTTTCACCCTGCAGTCAGTTTACAACTCAATTTTATATTCTGTATGTCAAACTTGTTGTTGTTGTTGTTATGTGCCGCCGAGTCAAACCCGACTCATAGCAACCCCTCCTTGGGTTTCCGAGGCAGTATCACTATGGAAGTAGGATTGCCCAACCTTCCTTCCGAGGAGTAGCTGGTGGGTTTGAACCGCCAGCCATCTGGTTAGCAGGCAAGTGTCTTAGCCACTATGTCAAACTAGTGTGGTCTGTTAACATTGATAAGTCTGCATAGGATCTTTTTTTTTTTTTTTAAATTAGTAACCAGTATTTACAAGCTGGGAGCTCTGGTGGCATAGTGCCTAAGGCATCTGACTGCTAACCAGAAGGCTGGTGGTTCAAACACACTAGCCACTCCCCGGAAGGAAGGTTGGGCAATCTACTTCTGTAGTGATATCACCTCAGAAACCCAAGGAAGGGTTGCTATGAGTCAGACCTGACTTGATGGCAGCGGGTTTGGGTTTTTTTATTTACAAGCTAGGAGACTTCATGTAAAAATCCAGATTTCTGGATGCTCTTGAAAGCTTTGATTTCTGGCAGTCCCTGGTAACAGTTGGCGAGAGTTGAATAGTAGCTGCCTCAAAACCCCCTCTTCACTCCCCACATAGACAAGGATCTCACTCTCCAATGCCCTGTAGCTTCTCCACTGGCTACTTCCTTCATTTACATCAACTGCTGGGACCTTTTCAGCATTTGAGATTTTAATCTTGTTTTTTTTTGTATATATAATGCCCTCTCTTAGACATTGCTTTGTATGCTTAAATAGAATAAAACATTCTCATTGAATTTTTAAAACTGTCTAGAAACAGTTTGACACCTACAGGTTTCAGATACAAACTGTCAATATAAAAAAGTGTTATTCTTTAATAACAAAAGAGAAATATTTTTGAATATTTTCTGTTTAAAAAGTATATCTAAATTTAGCAAATATTGTTAACAATTGACTCAATCATGAATCATCAATAAAACTTTATGTGAAAGATTTTTGGGAAACAAAATATTCACTTGGTCTCAAAGAATCACAACACAGATTATTTATTGATTATAAAATTCTTTTCAAAATAGAGAAAACTGGTAGACATTACATCCACCAAAATACCAAACTGAAAGTCTCCAATAATGGAGAAAACTGAAGTTGTGGTTCTTGATGTGATATATTGAGAAGCACACAATATCGCCTATATAGTATTCTTGCCAAAAATATTTAATCTGAATATAATCAAATACAAACCAACAGACAAATCCAAATGGTAGGATATTCTATAAAAAAGTTGACTCCACCTTTTGAAAAATGGAATACCATAAAAGATGGAGGGATGGCTGAACATAAAAAACACCAGATAAGTAAATACAATGTGAGATCTTTAATTGAATGCTGGATCAAAAGAAAAATTATCTTCTCAATAAAATTTTTTAAAAATTCTGTTCTTCTGTAGAATTTATTTGGGATTTTCTATAAAGGATACTTTTCCTTCATTGATTATTTGGTTCCTTTGAAAAATAGTTAATTGAGGAAAGGCAGAGTGATTCTTTCTCTATATTTATCAATTTTAAGCAAAAGGAGTTAGTGCCCCAAAATTTTCCAAATTTTTAAAGTGTCATATGAACTAATGCCTTTTTTGTATTTTAATGTACATCAATGCCTTTGATGTTTCAATATACAGCAGCCTTTATTATTATTTGTTTTGTTTCTCAATTATCTTACCTTAAGTCAATATCCTCAAATTAATTCTGTGTACTTTTGACATGTCTATCAGTCTTTGATAGCTTTCTTATATTTCAGCACAAAAACACGTCCTGTAGCATCTTAAAGGAGCTCTGGTGGTGTAGTGGGTAAGGCATTTGGCTGCTAACCAGAAGGTCATGGTTCAAACCCACCAGGTGCCCCATGGGAAGAAGATGAAGCAATCTACTTCCATAAAGATTTACAGCCTTCGAAACCCAGTGAGGATCATTATGAGTCAAAATTGACTCTATGGCAATGGGGATTTTTTTTGTTTTGTTTTATAACATCTTATGGGAGCTCTGGTAGCATAGTGCCTAAGGCACTTGACTGCTAACCAGAAGGCTGGTAGTTCAAACCCATCAGCCCCTCCTTAGAAGGAAGATGGGGCAATCTACTTCTGTAGTGATACTGCCTTGGAAACCCAAGGAGGGGTCACTATGAGTCAGGTCCGACTCAATGGCACATAACAACAACAACTACATAGCATCTTATGCATTAGAAGCCCACTCCTTGGAAGGAAGATGGGGCAATGCACTTCCATAGTGATACCACCTCGGAAACCCAAGGAGGGGTCGCTATGAGTTGGGTCCGACTCGACGGCACATAACAACAACAACATGCATTAGAAGCAGTCACAGACCTTGAATCAGTCATTTCTCCAAGGTGTTATGATTACTTTATTGGGAAATTATATTTAATATCACAGACAGAGTTCTACAGATGATCATTTCTCCTTGGTTATCAGGAGCCCTGGTGGTGCGGTATTTTTCTTTTGTTATTATTAAAGAATAACACTTTTTTTATATTGACAGTTTGTATCTGAAACTTGTAGGTGTCAAACTGTTTCTAGACACTTTTAAATTTAGATATATCTAAAGCCCTCATCTACTAACCAGAAAACGTTGGCAGTTCAAATCCACTATAGAAAGGAGAAAGATGTGGCAGACTGCTTTTGTAAAGATTTACAGCCTTGGTAACTCTGTGGAGCAGCTCTACTCTGTCCTATAGGGTTGCTATGAATACAAATTAATTCAGTGGTAGTGGGTTTGGTATTTTGGTTTTATCATAGCTTCTAAATTTTTTTAGGACACAAAGCTATAAAATATACATTATCATAAAATAAAAAATATGAAATCATATCAATATTTTACATTCAATTTAAGAATTGGTTTTACTGAATTATGCTACTTTGT